ACGTGGTATGGCTTACACAAAAAGTCTTGATAAAATTAATTCAATATTTACAAACTGATAAGGAAAAATTTTGAGGAGAATTTTTATATTTCAGAAAACAAGAAAGGTAACCGCTTCTGTTTATTAAAAATTATTTTGCTTTTATTTAATTTTGGTTTATTTAATCATAAATAAGGGAAATAAATAAATTATATAATCAAAAGACAAGCGCAGTTGTAAGTAAGTTTACAAGTAAACTAAAGTGAACCAACGGTAGTATCTATTGAAGTTAAGGAAATAAATTAAGTCGAAATAAAATTTATCTAATTACTTTGTACACATTTATTTATTACTATTTATTATTACATATATATCTAAGATTACATTAAATGCATGAAATTGACTGACTAAGTTCATATGAAGCCAAAAAGTAACTTCAAATCTATTCGAAGTGAATATGTTGAGATGCTACAAATCTAATTCCAATGCTCTTTAATACACACAAAGATATAATCCAAATACAATGATTATTAATAAAAAAAAACAGAAAAAAAAACAGAAAAAAAAACAAAACCAATGGATCTTACAGATTGCATAAATGTGTAAAAACTTTTTTATCGTGCCTTTATCATAATTAAGTGGTAGAGATGCAGAGAGGCATTGGAGTGAGCTTGAAGCCCGTGCACATGGAGTCGAAAATGACGAAGCCACTTTCATTCTCTTCATCTTTTTTCTGAGCATTTACATACTAAATTCAAGATATTAAAAGGAATATTGATTTTATTTATTGACATTCATTAACATATTTTATAGTATTTTATGGCTCATTTGACGCAACGCCTTATAAAAATAAGAAAGCAAAACTTGACTTTAAACAGGATTTGTTGCATTTGCTGGCTCGACCCGTTTTGCTCTTCACCTCAAATATTCCGTATGCATAATTGATTGAAATAAGAATGATTAAAACTGTGTTTAATGATGAAAAGAATTAAATTTGCAATTGAAACAAATTTAAAATTGAAATTTATTTATAAAAAAATAATAATAATAATTTATTTTTATTACCAAAATGAATGTCTCTTGAGGAAATCATAAGCTTAAACTTAAATTAGATATTTATCATTTTTATAAATATAAAAAAAGGTTTTTTTAAAGGTTTTACTTTTTATTTCAGCTGTTATGTTTGTTTTCGAGAACGTTTTTATGTAAAGTTGTTGAAATTTATGAATCGGAAAAGCTATTACCACAGTTCTCAAAATTTTTCTTGAGGGATTTTTCCAATGTAAAATGCTTCATTAGACACGCAAATGATTTAAAAGGGTTGAACATACAGAGTTTTCTTTTTCTTTTCTTACGACGATTGCAATTGTTGCCTGTTATCGAAGAAAAAGGTTGAATTAAATTTAAAATGAAAATATAAGAAAAGTAAAAGGAAAAACATGTAAATTGCCAGATTGAGAAAAAGATAGAAAACAGCGAAGAAAAACAATTTTCTCGGGCGTGTAATATTAGTTTCTGATAAAAAGAACATGTTCATTTTAGAACAAAAAGGAAAAATATAAACTAAAGTTGATATATTGTAAATATGATACAATATAACACTCAATAGAAAAACTCTGATATATATATAGTGCTCCTAATCAGATTTTCTCAAAATCAGATAGTGCTAATAGCGGCCTATGTAACGTCCACCCTAATCAGGTAGCCGATTCACCTTCTTAATACCACCGCTCCGTAGCATATTATATATTTAATTTTGTTTTATGAGAAAATATTAGAACTGATAGTTGCAAAATACACTATATATATTATCGATCTTTGTAACGTACATTGAATATTTTTCCAATTCGCTATGTTTTAGATTAAGAAACATTTGAGTGAACTATAAAAAATAATATAAAATAGACCTTCGCACTAATTGCGCTTCACATACAAAAAAAATAAAGATTAGGCGCATTAGAAACACCTGGAAAGGAGTGACGCGTCACGCCGAAACTTGATAGCAGGTTATTATTGTCAATTTAGTAAATATAGTAAAAAAGATTCGTTTAAATGAATATCAGATGAAACTATTTCTATAAATATCAAAGTCTATAAATAACGATCACATTAATTAAGAAACCCTAAATAACGAACAAAACTTAAATAAACTTAAATAACCAAAACTTTAAATAATGATTTCTCTAAATGAAGAAAACACTTAAAATAAGTAAACCTCTATGTAAGTAACTCTTTAAATAACTATCCCTCTATAGAACGAACCCACTAACTAACTCTAAAAATAACGAACCTTCTAAATAAATAGCACTCTAAATAAGGAAACATCTATCTAACTAACTTTTTCATTAACTATCCCTCTAAATAATGAACTCTATAAATGACGAACTTACTAAATAACGAACTCATTAAATAATGAACCCACTAAATAACGAACCTTCTGAATAAAGACCACTTAGAGCAGGAAACCTCTATATAACTAACTTTTTTAAAAACTAACCTTCTAAATACAGTACTCTATAAATATCGCCCCAATAAAGCATTATATTTTGCCCAAAGATATATATTCTTTTTAAAATTTGGCAACAATATTGTTTAGGGATATTGTTTTCTTCAATCTCGAATGAACAGGAAAAATTCTGCATTTAATAAAGACGGCAATGGTACATGCAATAGAATAGACAACAAAAAAGCTATTAACGCTAATTCTATGATTGTAAAATCAATTCTTACTAACGATGTTATTTTAACATTTTAAATTAAACATTTAATTACATAGGATGTATGAATGGGTTTTATACTACTGTGTATGTATCTTTTTCAGTACTGTAAATTAATACAGGCACAGTGTTGTGAGAAATAGATGAAGTATATAAAAATGAGTTTTTTTTTCATATTTTTATATTAAAGCTGTCTTATTTAGCTCTGGAATCTTATATATCATTTCTGAACAAAAATCTTGATGAATTAATTTTTACTTAAACCGATACTAGACGAAATACGCTGTTTAAAAATTCGTACACATCATCTGAGCACATTTCTTGGATTAATATATGTGTGAGACCACCTTAAGCGAATTTCTGGGGTTGAAAATTTTAATATATCTAATGTATAAATTCTAATTGATTATAGATTGTAATAGGAACCAAAAATAAGTTTGTGTTTGTAATGGTTTAATCACTGCTTCAACTTCAGTTTGTATGGTATTTGGGTTTCTCTTTGACATTTAGTATTACGGTATTAAAATATTTTAAATAAAAGCCGCTAATACCAGGTTTTTTATGTTTATTGGATCAATGCTTCAATAGCCGAAATGAAGTCACTTGACACTCTGCATATTATATATATCTTATTGCGAAATTATTAATACATCATCCGGCAATGACGCACTACGATTTATGAAATCTATTGTAGTTCCAGGAAAGCTCTGGAGGCACTTGTCCAATTGCTGCTCTTCCCTCCCAACTCGGTAACCGTTTGCCACTACCACAATATTTTTTACATATATGGGATAAGTACCCAAAATGGCATCACTTAACACAACGTATATTATATATATCTCAGGCTAAAACTATTACTATATCAACGGACAATGATACTTCGCAACTTTTACAATTTATTGTGTTTACAGGAACATTCAACCAAATGGAATGAAATCACTTAAGACATCATATATTATCAGTGTCTAATTGTAAAATATGAATACATCAATTTCATTCAATGGAATGAAATCACTTAAGACATCATATATTAACGGTGTCTTATTGTTAAACTATGAATACATCAATGACACTACTTCACAACTTCTAAGATCTATTGTGTTTCCAGGAACGACACGAATCCATACTACCAAATGCTGCTCATTCTTCCCAATTGGGAGCCAAATAGATAGTTACCTATGTAGTTTACAACAATAACAAACAATATTTATAAATTAAATACTTCTATATCAACAATAGAGCAGTGCGAAAGCATAATAAATACAAGAATAAAGCAATTATAATATTTTTATGACGATAAATTTTAAAGAATTATTTAAACTAATCAAGATTGAAAGCAATATTTTGATTATTAAATCCAGTGAGATTAATTAAATTCCTTTAACAAGCTACAGAGCTATAGATAAGCAGTCAGCAAAAGTTTAATATTTGAGCTACCACAGAAGCACGTTCCCGAACGAAGGAAACGCAGGAAGATTTTGCTGGACGAATACATAATTTTGCACACGTTCATTTAAAAGAGCAAAAAATCAAATCAAGCGCCACAGACAAATAAACGAATACAAGGCAAGTAGCATCCAGAGGTACTTTCCATCTATTGCACCCCACTCCATATTCCCTTACAAGCAGAAACAAAAATATCTTTACAAAGTTAAGTTAACAGAATGAAGATTGTCGCCAATACACAATGGAAGGCAGAAGGTATTGCACACAACTTGGTTAACGCAAGCACAGAAACACTCCAAACACACATTTGGAAACGCGAGTTGGGTGGTGGATAGGGGGTGGTGAAGCGAATGGTTATGTGTAAAGGGGGAAAAAGATGCTATTCAAAACATCTGGACTCTTCGACTTAAGTTTAAGGTACATTTTTTCTTTATAAAATAAAAATATTTGTTATTTTTCTACATTTACTGCGCTTTGCCGAGTAGGGATAGGGATAAGCTCGTTATATGTTAATACAATGGAAGGAAATATTCAAAAAAATTGTATAAATATGAAAAGAACAGAGCATAGTAAACATTATTTGGAGCATTTGAAACGTGATTCGAATTCTCCTGTTTGTTATATTAATATTTTATTTATAATAATAAAATAAAATGAAATCAGACGAAAATGTGGATTTGAAATTCAAAAAATTTCAGAAAAAAGAATTCTCAAAATAAGCTGTTTTTGTTGGGGTGGACGGAGGAGACAGAGCACTTGAGGTGTCAAAGTGAAGAACATTATTCTTTGTTGTTGTTAAAGTCAATTTAAAATTAAAAATAAAAAATTGAAAAAAAATTTTAATAAATTTAAGCTTACCGGTTTTTTCTTTAATTTCGCACAGCACTGAAAACAAAGCCGGTTTCATACGATGGCAATTTAAAGTGTGTTTCCTGGCCTGTGCCTCATCTAGTGATTGCTCCGAAATACTCATTATCTGTTGCAATATTTCGCCTATGTCCTTCTGCTTGCGAACTTCATTTTCATTACCAGCATTCTGGCCATCGTCTTGCCCAGGCATCCCATAGCCTTGTGGAGCCATCATGCCGCCGGCTGTGTGTGCCATCATACGATTTGGATCCTCCATGGTGTGCCACTAACAACGGGAATGCACCAAAGCTAAAAGATAATAACAATAAATAAATAAAATTATAAATAAAGTTTTAATAATTTTCTACAATATAATGCGAAATACTATATTTAAGATAAGGATAAGTAAATTCTATTGCGAATAATATTTGCTACTCAGGCATTTTGACAGTTTAAACTATTTGTGCACTTGGTCTGGACTTACTTCAACCCGAAACGCACACGTCTTGTTGCCGCAAAGTTAAAACAATAACTGAAGCTGGAATCATTCAACACGCACACAAGTGCTTGGCCAATGAAACGTAAAAGGAGCATATATGCATGGACCGTATGCGCTGCTGCTCTCTTTTACCAAACACCAAACACAAATCTTGTGATGTGTGCTCTCTCATCAAACATTCACCGAAGTGAACACAAACGGAAGAAAAATACAATATAAAATCTTAGGCGCAACTGAAGCGCACAAGTGGATACAAATAATAACTCAAATAACTCAATACGTATTTTGTATTATTGTATTTTCCAAAAAAAAAAAAAAATAATAATATTTTCCAAAAAAAAAAAAAAAAATAATAATATTTTCAAAATATAAAAAAATACCAGGATGTGATGTGATCAGGGACCGTAACAGTTATCATAAAAAAAATAAAAATCTGTTTGTATAACTGTTATAACTATTTGCATTTTAAAATAAAACTCAAAAAATAATAATTAAATTTGATTTTTATTATATTCATCAAAAATAATTATTATTATATGCCTTTTATTTTTTCGCGCAGAATTAACTCTTAAAGTTTGCTTCTTATTTTAAAACTCATACTTGCGTTATATAATATAAAAATCAAGAGTATCGCGCAAATTCTGCGCGATATTTTTAAAATGAAAATATAAAATGCAATTTTCATACAAGGTAGTTGTTTTTGTAATTCCATAGAAAATGTTTTAAAAGGTTGGTGCACGTACAGATTTAGTTCAGTTTTTTGTTTTTGTATTTTGCATACAAATTTGTTCTCCTACAAAATACAAAGATAAATACAAAATATGAATCCAAAATACAAAAACAAAAACTGAACTAAATCTTTACCTGCACCAACCTTTTAAAACATTTTCTATGGAATCGTAAGATTGCTAGATGTTTTAATATTAGGAATTCTTCTGATGAAGGCAAAAGAAAATTTGCCGAAACACGTGTAGAGATACACAAAAAAACTTTCGAAATAAAAGTTAGTATATTTTAAAAAACAAAAATAACCGCATTTTCTATGGAATTACAAAAACAACTACCTTGTATGAAAATTGCATTTTATATTTTCATTTTAAAAATATCGCGCAGAATTTGCGCGATACTCTTGATTTTTATATTATATAACGCAAGTATACCAGTTATTTGTGAGTTTTAAAATAAGAAGCAAATTTTAAGAGTTATTTCTGCGCGAAAAAATAAAAGGCATATAATAATAATTATTTTTGATGAATATAATAAAAATCAAATTTAATTATTATTTTTTGATTTTTATTTTAAAACGCTTATATATAAAAAGCATTCATAATATTAAGGATAAAAGTTGTTAGAATGATAACTATTTACTTAAATAAGAGTTTAGACAGCTTTTTGTTGCTGCTTTTTTCCATAAAAAAATTTAAAATAACTGTTATTTTCTGTCCCTTGATGTGATTTTGTGTTGATAAAAAAACACCAAAAATATTGGCACCAAAGCGATTTTTCATCCTTTTTTTAAATTATCTCAAGTACCGTAATTAAAAATTAGAAAGCAAAAGATGACCTTGAGTTATGAATATTATTTTAATACAATTTAATGCTGCAATATGTTTTTAAAAATAAGAAGAGAAAGTTTTTAAAATATTAAAAACACATTTTCTAATATTTTAGATTTTAACTCATTGAAAACAACAAACATCAAACATCAAAAATCATATGCAGCAAATCTTTATGAGCGGCACATTAAAAATACACAATTTACAAAAACAAATATGAATACGATATAACAATAGCAAGTGTAACAGTTCCTTCACTCCTCTACGACTACTCCTCTACGCAAGGCAAACAATCCAACAGACAACAGACACATCTTCACATTTAACACTTCACAAGCACTTGAAAATACTTCGTTGAAGTTTTTCTTTTAACATTTTTTTTTTGTTTTTGCGTATGTACCACCCATTTTTATGCATGTTTTATCATAAAATTATTAATAGCGCATATAAATTTTATGAACTTACTTTTTATTATACGGCTTCGCAATTAATTAATCTGTAATTTTTTTTATTTTTTTTTTGGTAAAATAAACAAGAAAGTAAATATTAACAATAATTCACACAATAAAAAAGCATTGAAAACATTTAATGTGGTAAGAAAAAAACACAACCGATATGAATAGAGAAAAAAGAGAATATTCTGACTAAAGAAGACGCAAAAAATGCAACGATGTCTTTACATTTTTATATACTTTAAAATATCACAATTGATTAAAATTTTATCTTAAATTATTTGTAATTTATTGTAGTAACTATAAAATCATTTCAATTTCAAAAAATAAACATATTAATTACCAAAATTTATAAACACAAAACGGATTCACTTTAGGGCACCCGACACCTCACAGAACTGCTATTGTTTTACTAGCGTTGCCAGATGTATGATTTTACTACAGATTGTCTTAAAATGAAGTAATTAAAAAAAGTGTGTTATTAGTGCAATATTAAGTAGTAGTAGACATAAGAATTTATAAATTTTAGTAAAAATAACAATAACAATAACAATGTGTTATTAGTGCAATATTAAGTAGTAGTAGACATAAGAATTTATAAATTTTAGTAACAATATATATACTTAAAATAATTAAAAAGTTTTTAATTATATTTCTAATATATGTTATATATTAAAAATTGTTATTACGACCAATATTCAATCAGTTTTTTATTATTGGGCTTCGGTCGTTTATTTAACACATAAATTTTTTAAAAATGTTTTTTAAATAAAATAAAAAATTATACTTGTTAAACTGTGTTAAATATTTATATATTATATACTTACACATATATATACATATATATATTTATATATGCATAAGTATATATTATATAATATTACACCTATTTGTACTACTATATAAAATTATTAGTTAATTACATAATTATACTAGTATTATTTTGCCTGTTTTCTCTGCTTTTGTATTAAATTTGCAATAATTGTTTTTGTTTGTAATGTAGGTAAAGTTAAAATATTTTAATAGTTTTTTTTATATATTTAATTAATATATTTTATTCCAACAGAATTCTTTTATATTGCCAATGAAAATAATTATTATGAAAAAGATAAGAAAATGGCCAAATAACACCAAAATAATTATATTATTAATCAATAATAAAATATAATAATAATAATAAATAGATAAATAAAAATATTTATGTTTAATATCATATTATAATTCTTTAAATTCTTTTATTTGTGATCAAAAATATTATATAATAATTTATTAGCGGGCTAACTTGTCACATAAATAGAAATAACTAATTATAGGTTTTTTATTTCTATTTGGTTATAGTTCAAAGATAACTTATAATCAATACTTTTCCAAGTTGAAGGTCTTTGATTCCTTTAGTATTTAGTATTCCTTTAGTATAGTATTAGACAATGTATTTTATCAATCTATCCTAATCATTTTAATTTGATATCTAACAAATAGATACACTTCATGTATTTTATAACGAGATACCTATCTTCGTATAAAAATGGGGATAACAGTGAGAAAGTAATTTAATTTTTAATATAATGATCGCTTGGCATGGCTATACAGCTATTTCGGATTCAACCAATATAAGATATACTTCATATGTTTCATAAAAAGAAATCTGTCTTCAAATAGAATATAGGATAATAGTGAAGAAATACTAACTTACTTCTTTTCTCCTAGTGGAGCATGGTAAAAAAATGTACAAATCCCAGAGTTTAAATGAATATTTAAGCTAAATATTCAGTTGGAGGACTTCCATACATACATCATCAGGTGTTTTTGTAGACAACTATTAGTTTAATTGTTCGTACATAATTTTTACGAACTGTGTGTCGGGAATCTAATTCTTAAACCGAGATAATGTCTCTCACTAGAACTGATTTAAATTCATTAAAACTATCTGTTTGGAATTAAATTATTTTTGTTTCTAATTTACAATAGTTTTAGTTTTATTTTGCTGTTTTAGTATTTTTGTTGTACATTAATTGCAAATATATTAGGTTTTAGTTCTGTTTGCATTATTAAATTAAGTTTTAGTTACTGCACTCATGGCTTTACAACGTTTCATTAAAATTAGTTTTACAAAGTTAACAAAATTAATCAATTTCTTAAGGCGTCTCTATGATAGTTTATCGTATAAATAAATTAAGATTAAAATAAATAAATATATCAGTTAACAACTGTTGTCGTATAATTTGTATGATTTAAGTATTAAAACTAGAATATAAATGTTAGTTAAGTAATATGCACATGCTGTCAACTTGATTAAGTCCATAAAAAAGTCCATTAAATACATTTAAAACGTTATTGGCCACATAATACAGCAATAGTTCTATAGACTATTAGTGTTCAAATAAAAAGGAATTACATTATTTACATGCATAAAGTCTTTTATAGCTGCTTTCTTGAGTTTCAACTTCTATATTTTTATTTATTGATCTTATAGTTTTAAATATTTAAATCCAAACAAAAAAACATAGGCTTCAAAAAATGTTTGATTAAATTTTTACTCTTTTTTTAACTTTCAATAAAACTTTTAGGATTATCACATTCGTAGCTAATTAATCGCGCTAGATATTACCAGCACTATTGTAAAACTGAAAATTGTTGAAATTAACTGGTGTCTTAGGACTTGGACATAAATAGAGAAAGTCATCATTTTGCAATTGTGTCAAATTTGGTTCGCTGGCACTACGATGTATTTTAGGTAAAGTGCGCAGCATATTCTCCAACATATTTAGTAATGGTCGAAACAATGGTCTGTCGTTGCGATCGAATCTTATGCAGTCTTCGGCTAAGCGTTTCAGTGCTTGTGGTGCATCGGATCGTACCTGAGACATATCTGGACGCAGAAGACCACGTCCAACCATAAATAAAATTTGATCCTTATTATTGATGTGACTGTATGGCAAACATTCTGCCAATAATTCATACATAGCAATACCAAATGCATAAACATCGGATTGAAAGGAGTATGGATTCAGCTCTTGCATACGTATTACTTCTGGTGCCATCCAAAGTATACTGCCAGTGGGTTGATTAGCTTGTTTCTCACCGGACCAACGAGTCTTCGCAGTTGCCAGACCAAAATCGCCTATTTTTACAGAAAGATCTTCATGTAAAAATATATTATTTGATTTCAGGTCTCTGAATAATGAAAATTTATTATTAATATTTATTCATATATATTTATTAACCATATATACCTATGTATAATATTTTTCGCATGCAAGTAGTCCATGCCCTGTGCAACTTGACGTCCAATATCGATCAATGTATTCAGTTTGAATTTTGTTTCATTAACATGTATGTGTTTATAAAGGGAACTACCTTCACACCATTGTGTTACAATAGCTAAAGAAGGCTTTGACACACAACCCATAAAAAGCAAAATATTGCAATGTCTAGTCTTTTTTAACATGGCTACTTCATTCTTAAATGCTTGTAGTTGGGCGGGACTTGGTGTTTTTACGTTTAACGTCTTAACTGCAACTGGTCCGTGCCAATGTGCTTTATATACAGTTCCAAAAGAACCCGAACCGATACGTGGTCCAATTAGTATCTCTTCTGCTTGTATATTCTTGTGTGTTATAAAATATATAAAAAAATATTATAATTTGACAAGAGCACAAATATAAATATCAATTATTTATTAGAACATACCCAATTCTCTTCAGATCCTTTCGCATCACGTGGAGATAATAGATTTTTATTGCTTTCATCTGCGGAACGCGCTCGTTGTCTTTTCACATGCTTTAAAGTACTCGTCGGAGATGCCTGAGTTGAGTTAGAATGATCATTACATGGTTGCTACATACAAGGTAATGTAAAGTAAGAAATTCAGGGTTTAATATGATCTGATAAAATATATGATATTGATTTAAGTAGATTTTTTCAAACTTTGTCAATTATAAAAACGATGTAACGAATAAAGATATATATGCGTAACAATTAAATAATAATATAATCTATTCTGATAATATTTAATAATTTACTTTATTTACTTTATTACTTTAAATTTATCGTGTATTTAAAATAAACTTAAAAAATGTTCTGGGTTTCCAATAAGGCGGAGCAATACTTTTTGCTATCAACTAAACTTAAATAACTAACAGATATTCAGCTTTTCGAATAAAGGTATGAATGCCTCTTGTTGAGGTTTTCCAAATATCAAATGGATATAGAGGAATGATTCCCTGGTGCAGAACAAAATTGAAGTCAAAAATTTTAGTGCCTACCTGTAAAGGACCATGCGTTTGTACTAATTGTCGCTGAGCATCCGTTAAAGGACGTATATTATTAATACAAACATTAGGAGCTGAATTTGAGCGATCTTGTTGGCTTATAGTACGTGGATGTCGCCCCTAAAAATTATTTCCATCAATATTTATAGATTAATAAATAACACACAAAAGTTACATACATGGTAACCAATCGCACCACCACGTCCTGGATGTAGAATGCCGACTGTGCTTTCAGGATTTTGAGCTAACAAACACTGATAGTAATTGTCCATTGGAAATTGCTGACAAAGTGTTGGCACCTTGTCAGCACAACGCTGATGAAACCGAAAATTACATTGATTGCAATAAAAACCGGTAAACAGTAAACGGCGACAGCCTTCACAGAACGCTAACGAGAAAAAAGTCTTGCGCACAAATTGATGCGAAATATGTGTCATAATAGGGACAAACTCTAAAAGTCTAACATAAACCTCCTCCACTTGCAATGAACCTATATCTGTATCCCACGATATAATATGCCGTCCATCTTTTGTTGTTACTTCACACATTCCCGGAGTCAATTGTCTCAGCTTTAATGCTTTCATTAGAGCATCACATAAACGTACACCAGGAACAACCTCTACAGATGTGCGTTGTTGATTAGGTAAGTGAGCACGTAATAATACTTTTGGCATTCGAGTTAGAGTGCCACATTGACTGCTACTGTTTGTTGACATATAGCTATCCGTCTAGTGAAAACAAAATTTTTTTTTATTAATTTTTTAATTTTATACAAATTATGCCATTATCTACCATATCACTTGTAGCATGCCCATATTGCTGTTGGGTATTGCGATAAGTCTGTTGTAATTGTATTTGATTTTGATAATGTGGATGATTATTGCAGTCACTTAGTTTGAGCTGTTGCTCTGCTGTGCTATGTTCCTCCTGTTGTGCGTTTAGCTGTTCCATTAATTCTTGCTCTTTCGCTTCCAACTCGTGCAGCTTTGATGTAAGTTCTTGATATTCAGTTATATACATTGCAGGTGGTTCTTGCAAGTTCGCAAATTTAGCATTCAGTGCATCAATATTTTCTCTAGTAACGTGTATCACCGATTGTATGTTTCGCATCTCCTCAGCCAACGGGTCGAAGTATTGCAAGTCACTTTCATCACTAGATGAACTACTCGACATTTTATTGTGTACCGAAACGGTAGTGCTATACATGTGACAAGAAAATGGTGCAGTACTCGTCTTAAACCGCAAACGAAAACGTGACGGTGCGATTTGTTAAAGCTGATTGAACAGTTTAAAACCTTGTGAGGTATACCTTGTTTTGGTTCGTTGAAGCTTACTCAATATTTTGACGAACGCCTTGCCCCTCAACATCATCTGCACATATCATATATACAAGACAATGGAACAAACTAGATTTGCATAATTTAGCAACCTGCAATATTTGAAATACGCCACTTTAACAGTTATATTAAGTTGCTTATTTGGGACTTTTTTACTTATTCAATAATTTTTCCATAAGCCAACATTCGATTACTACGTAGGAGTTAAAGTAAAAATCGTATTGCTTTTAATCGAATTCTACAAGCCTTTCAGTATTTGCTTGCGATTATAAATTTTTGTCAAAAAATAGTTTAAACAAACCTAACAAGTTCCTAAATTCTTTTCGCAATAATCAATAATTTGACAATTTAATAATTGCATCAGTGTTTCATTTACCTTTCTAGAGTTGCCATTAGCTTGCAAAATTCAAAATTTCTCAGCGGACACTTTCAATTCACATAATTGATAACACACAAGCAAACGATATTATGCCTTTTAAATACACATATAAAAGCCACGTATAGATAAATTTAAACTCTGGTATCGTAAAGATGTAAATTTTGCAAATTTTTTAGGAGTGCTCAAAGCTCTGTTTCTGAAACAGCTTCAGCGTTCTTTTAAACATGTTTTTGTGTGTTATAGTTCTAATATTTACTTATAGATACATACATATTGAAGCTATATATAGGTTTTAATACCATATATTAAACATATTTTTAAAAATGAAAATTAAAATAACTGAGTCAGAATATGGAAACATAAGTAATTAGTAAATTATATATATTTAATGAACTTAACATAATATGAACGTATATATATATTTAGTTTTTAGATAGTTTTTTAGGGGCATGTTATAATTCGTCACGTCACCCAATTCGTGTTGCTTTACAATGCAAAATAAATATTAACAGCTCACTTTATTTTGAATTTGTTATATACTTTACTGATTTAAAGTTATATAAATTTTACAATTTATTAATAATAATAATAGTTTATACGGCATGGCACGCTTACTCCTTTGACCACAACGACGAACAACAACGCACTTCGTATTTTACCTTTTTCACCTATTTCTTTATACAGGGTTACCAAGATCGAATATACTACAGCATTGTAAAGCAACAACAATGGTGTGACGTGATTGCAATCATAACATGGCCCTTTTTGATAACAACCAATATTTTAATCAGCCCCACCATATTACTCCTCTTCGGAGGCTCGCAAATATGGCAAGAAATGCATGGTAGCCTATATTCGCTACGGGAGATATTGGCATCACTGTTGCAATTTGTCAAATGTTTTGTTTGGCAAATAACAAAAATACCATAATGCAAATAAATGAATATAGAATTATAAGGAATGGTTAGAATGGTGAAAATTTCAAAATAAAACACTTATATATTTCTTTATTTCCAATTTTTATATATATGAAATTTTTGAGTTTTGTTTGAATTTTTGTTAACATTTGATTTTTGACATATGATTGCAATATTCATTGGAATTTCCAATGAAGGTTCTCAATAGTTCGCTTATTGCGTTGGTAACACATTTGTTTTACTGGCCGATGTGGTTGGCCCGCATAACTATGCTGGCCGAGGTAGAGAAAATAGTGTTGTTGTTTTGCATACATTGCGGCCAGTATAGGCCTGCATAGGCCAACAACTTGCTGTTTTTTGCCGCACTTGCGAGCCACCGAATACGCCTTATGTATACTGCTAGAAAAAATAGTATTGTTGTTTTACGTACATTTTCGCCAGTATAGGCCAGTAACCTGCTGTTTTTTGTCAGACTTGCGAGCCACCGAAAAGGTCTATTTTTGAAAATTTATGTATGAGAATAATTGTACAAATTGTTATTGTAAGAATAATAATTTATGTGGCGATATAACAGATTTAACAATATATAACCACCGATCGATTGCAACACAAAGCAAGGATTTTTAAGTGTGTAGAAACTGTAAGTAGAATATATTTGAAATATGTTATTTCTAGAATAACTTAAGTGAGGTGTTCTTTTGTGGTACTAGTTTATGTTTTATTATAGTAGTCTGTGATTTACATTTGTCAATTGTGACAAAAATTTATCTATTCCTGATAAAAATATTTCTAGTGTTTTGCAATTTGCAGTATTGAAATTCGGTTTTGTCTATCAACTATAAATTTCTACTGTCTCTCAGCGGTTGACAATACACAAAAGGCACTTACAATAATTAACAATTAGGTATTTATATTTTCAAAATTTTGTATTAAAATATTTCTGTTTGTTTAATGTTTATAATAATTTGTAAGAAATAGCAGAAGAGTTTGCAGTTGAATCTTCATTAATAATTAAATAGAGTTTGAAATATCATATATTATTTTTTTATCGTAAAATATATGGAGATTCATATATCATTTTATCGTAGTATAATACCGTGGAATAATATGTTGGTAAGTTTTTATTATTGTGAATGGTCAGTTAAATACAACTGTGAATAGTTGAAAAAAAATACGATATAATAGAAAACGACAGCTAGCCTCGCCATTTTTAGTATGACATGTTTGACGCGTTGTCTGCGATTTGATATTACTTGAAAAAATTTTAATTTATTTAAACATTTGTGGGTGTTTGGAATGGGTATAAATTAGAAAAAATAATAGACTGAAAATTAAGGAAGATTTATAGTGAATTTCGCAAAATGGATGAAGGTAAGGTAGCGTGTAAAGTTAACCTAAATTCGGCGTCTCTACATACATTTTAACATACTTTACTAATTTTGCAGCGACTTCAACTAAAAAAGTTGGAAAGCAACATAATACGCTACCACTGTGGGGAAATGAGGCCTCCATGAATTTAAATCCACTTATACTTGCAAATATACAAGGTTCTAGTTATTTTAAAGGTACGTCCGCAAAGGTATAGTAAATCGACCCGGAAATGTTCAAAAATTATTATATATAAAGAGCTTGCGTTTAAATTCTTTGTATTTTTAGTGCATTTGTTTAAATTGAAGACTTACCATGAGGTTGTTGATGAGATTTATTACCAAGTCAAACACATGGAACCATGGGAACGCGGCTCTCGAAAAACATCCGGACAAACCGGCATGTGTGGCGGAGTGAGTTTATGAAATGTAGCATTTCGTTTTGAAATAAGTCAGCCTATTCATATTACCAAATGATGAAATTAAATGGTTTTGATAAGAAGAAAAAATGTGTGCATAAAATTCATGGTTAGAAAAAATGTTCTAATTGTTTGGTAATTTGATTAAGTTAACTGCTTTTATAAATGGATATCGTGGTATTTTAAATTATGCCTATTTTTTTTTTATTTCTCTTTTAGGTGCGTGGTGTAGGTGCTGGAGGGATTGTATCGACGGCGTACTGTTTACTTTACAAGCTGTATACATTGAGATTAACACGCAAGCAAGTTAATGGATTATTAAACCATACAGATTCGCCTTATATACGCGCACTAGGTAAGTGGTAAGTCGAATGAACGTTTCGAGTAATAATTGTCCAAAATTTGAAATCGTACAGCACCAACTAGGCAACTCTGCCAGTAAATTAATGGCAAGATATGCTTTAATTTTGAAAAGTATTTTATGACTAAAAAGTGATTCATTTTTCATAGGTTTTATGTATTTACGTTATACACAACCACCGGCTGATTTGTACGATTGGTATGAGGACTACCTACAAGATGAAGAAGAAATTGATGTTAAAGCCGGTGGTGGGCAGGTGAGTTTATTGTATGACATGCTTTTGTTACAATTATACAAAATTTATTAAATATATTTACATTGCATAGATGATTACGATTGGTCAAATGGTTTATCAGTTTCTAACCAAAATTGATTGGTTTTCTACACTATTTCCGCGAATTCCTGTGCCAATACAAAAACAAATTGAAAAAAAACTAGAACTGTATTGTCGTACAAATCAAATAACTTTGCACCAGTTAAGTACAGGGCGTGGCGTGGCAGCAGCATCGCAAGATAATAGCTATAACGATGATAGCTATAATCGTCGCGGTGGTGCAGTTACTGGCAGAGATATGAATAGTGAACGTGATTATCCACCTTTGACTAATTATCGCACAGAACATGATGATCGAGATCGTGGTAGAGGACGGGAGCGGGAAAGAGATTATTATCAAACCGCTTCGTCCAGCAGTTACCGCCGTCATGAATATTCCTCGCCTGCCAAAGAAAGAGAACGACGCTCTAGTCGCGAACGTGAAAAACATCATGAGAAAAGCAAGAAAAAGCGTAAGCACAAGCATCATTCACGCAGCAGAAGCAATAGTCAAAGTCACAGTCGTCATGAGCGCAAACATGAACGGGAACGTAGTGGTCACACTAAAAGTCGTGATGACTACGAAGAACGCAGATATCGGTAGATATGTTTATTCATATATATGAATATTCATATGCAAAACTAGTTAAAAACAATTTATTATTTAAACTATTCAACATGAACACAAAGAAATAGCAAAAATTATTTGTTGAAACAATCTTTTTGTTATTAGAATTTTTATGAATTAACTTTTTAATGTAAGTGTGTTATTTAAGCCATAGTAAACCTTTAATCTAATTATAATATTCAATCAGATTGTTAAACTCAGGTAAATTGTTGAACTTTTTTTTTTAACGCACTGCATAAACAATTATTTGTTTTTGCAGAATATAATGTTCTTTAATTCTTTATCTAATAAAACGGTTACTTCAACTCAACACTAAATATATAATTAACTTTTTATTTAAGTTGTGTCAATTTGTATAAGTAATCTTCACTCAAAATAGATGGTTAATATGTGAATGAGTACATTGTGTCATTCGATAAAGTTTTGATTATAATTAATTATAATTATTATGATTATAATAAATTATAATTATTATGATTATAATAAATTATAATTATTATGATTATAATAAATTATAATTATTATGATTATAATTAATTATGATTAATTAATATAATTAATATTTTATTTAAGTTGTGTCAATTTTTATAAGTAATCTTCACTCAAAATATATGGTTAATATGTGCATGCGTACAATATGATGTCATTTGATAAAGTTTTGATTTGGCAAATTAATTACATTAAGATCCTTTTTTTCGCACAGAAGTCGAAATAAGTAGACAATTTGTCTGTTTATAACAACCCTCTGAAGCCTGCTTGTAAAATCCCTTTGCGGGGTGGTGAACGACATTTCCTTGTCCGTAGATCCGGCCGTTCGTGGAAGTAAACTTTTAAAGTCTTTTTAAACTTTATACTCGTTTTTTGTACTGAAATCAAATAAAACTAAATTATTAAATTCTTTTTTGGGTTAATGAAATGAATATTTGATGCTACTATATATTGTTATTATGTTTGGGAAACTTGTATTGTGACCTCGAGAAGTATTCTGCATTTTTCATGGACTTAAATTATTTTTGTTAGTCCAACTTCCTTTATAAATTGTAGAATTGAACTTTATCTTTATCTGATATGAGATGCCCAGCTAGGTACTTCTTTCATTCATTGAAACTTCTGTGTTCTGCACGTGTTTTGAAATCTCAGTCTCTTTGCTATAAAACCTAAAAGTATCATTAGAGTAAATATACTACGTGCTTGTTTTGAAAGTATATTTCTGATTCGAGTCTTTCTATATGTTAGGTACTTCAAACTGATATAAACTCAGATTAAATTGTTAAAGAATTGATGTTTTTATAGTATATATGTATCTGCATACTATTAGTCCATATGCTTATATATTAAAAAAAGTATAATTAACAAGACAAAAAATAAAGTGAAACAATATACTGATTAACAGAAAGTTATACCTTATAACAGTACTATCAAGAAACAGTAATAGGTAGCGGGTAATATGTGGAAAATAATATTCCAGCCCAATTGAAATTTAAGAAATTTTATGCATTGTAGAGATTTCATAGAATATAGATTAAAAAGCAATGTGATGAGTCTATCAGTAGACTTATTTTTAAGATGAGCGATACATCAGAAACTTGTTAAACATGTTCTTTTATATACATATGTCCATACAAACTTATTGAAATGTAAAGATATTGTATGAAGATAAAAAGGACAATCTGTAATGTAAAAGCTATTGATATGAAAAACGGTTTATATCATTCTGTTTGTTATGAATTATTATGTAGAGAAAATTTCTAATGTTAAGTTTTTAGTTAATATTTTATGATAGTAAAGTTTACCAACGATCACTGATACTGAAACACTGATATTCTATGGTTATCTTTAATTTGAGACGTTTCTACTTCTTAAATTGTTATGACTTCGAGCTATTTGTGTTATTGGTTGTTAGTAATATATCACGATGTATTTACGATCATGCAGAATGTTTTGTACTTAAAACGTTGGATTATTGACAGATTTGCATCTTCCGCGGTTCCACATGGTTGTAGTCCATTATTTCCAACGGTTTTTAGCACGCTATTATAGATCAAAAACTGGTTCTCTAATGAGAATTAAGTATTTTGACCGAGGAAACAAAATAAATTTCGTAGTTTAAGATCCAAAGCTGTCCGCGTTTTAAAATTGTGATTTTTCAATGTCAATTTACTATAGAGGTAAGTATACTTAGGAAGTAATTTGTTTCCACAGCCTATGGTAATTGTGGAGATTTGATTTCAGGGAGGCGTGCAACCAAATCATCTAGTATTAAATGTGACCTGTACGGACTTGTTTACTTGAGGAGTAAATAGAAAATTGTCATATATATGATATATGTATAATATATACATATATATATATTAAATAGTGTAATATTATATATTGTTATATATACATATTGCATATAATACGATTATCTGTAATGTGAATTTGTGCACGTTAACAATCAATTTAATCGAAAACTTAATTCAAACGAAAAATTTTCTTAATTCTTTAATAAAAAGAGCTTAGGATACGTAATACGATCCTTGCCGTAGACTGGGATAGTAATGGGCGTATAAGTAAAGCGTGAAGTCCTGTTGTGTGCAATTATGTATGTGTGAAGTTTCGACTTTGTAGATGTCAGCTACTGTTTATTTTAAAATAATTTCACACAAGAGTGCCCTATAATTTTTTTATATAACAAAACTATTTGTTCAATAATATTTTATTCCCAAAACTATTGTAATAAATCTCAAATGTTGGTTCACCCAAGGCGCTTTTTGCAATACAAAAAAAAAGTGTATCAGAATCGAATAATAAAAAACAAAGGAAAAAATACATAACGCAAGACACAACCTCAACATATTCCTTGTTATTTGGCAAATGTGCTGATGCAATTGAAGCGGGTAGTATCCTCCACAGTAATCATAAAAAGGGTCCTTGCGAAATAATTGCATTTCTTTATATATAAGGAAAAAACTAACAACATGGAGGGTAGGGTGCACGCAAGGACGTAAGATCACAAATTATATGCCAACTCCAACTCAAGTTATGAGATGGCAGAAACATGCAGTGTCTGCAAATGGAAAAACAATGCAACTAACAGGGAGGGATTGACTTAGAGTTTTCTTTATAAATGCACGCTCTCCCTACCCCAATAACCGAGGTACGTTTGTCTGCGGACGTGTCACTGTTTCAGCATGAAGAAGTCTTTGTTTAAATTTAATTTTGATTTGTGTGTAAAATTAGATTCTTATATTTTTTAAAAGATTTTTTTTTTCTTTTTTGCAAAGATCTTCTGGTCGGCGAAGGGAAAAATATTAAATATGATTGCTTATGAAAATATGCCATAAATTTCCAGCTTAGAACTACTTCTTGTTCTTTCATATTTTTGCAGATGTGATTTGTGGCTTGCAGTGTGTTGTTGTATTCTCGGACCCAGGATTTAAGTAGTAAATCAAAATATGAAGGATTTTAAGGTAAAGCATAAGCACAAGCATACAAATGATATAAATAAGCAAAATATTAAATTTTATTTGGTGGTTTATTATTTCGCATTTAACCTGAATAACCTCTCTAATGGCGAATGCAATTTATGAGATCCATTTTTTTCTTTAATCGCAGCTGTCATAAATATTATTCTAGTAATATCCAATTACTTCTCCTTGAAGTTCAATTATGCCTAGCAACAAGAAAAACTTTTTCAGAATTCTTCATACATAATAATTTTTTTTGAGAAATAACTAGAAAACGAGTTGAAAGTCCTTTATTTAAGCATTTTTCGCCATTTTTATACTTACAATAATTTGCTTCCTTATATTAAAGAAATTCACAAAGAATCGTTTCAATCCTTCCCGCGAATCATCAACTTTAGTGATAATAGTAAATTAATTATATACATAGGTATATAAATAATGGTAACATCTTATAAGTTATCAAATGGTATAGTTAAGTTGTTAACGCAACGATTAAGATAATTTCAGCTTTCAAAAAACCATTACACTACAACCTCTGTCCGGTCTAGGCCACCTTAAAGAAATCTCATTATCAATCCCTATTACAAGCGGGTGTCAGTTAATTAAACGCATTAATACTACAGTGAAATTTGTTGATTTTTAAAAACTATGCACGTATTTCTTCATCCATGTTATTATCAAAAAAGTTGACACTCCTGTGTCATTACCCGGATTATTTGACCAACAATAGATTTTTCCAGACGAGGCCACTATGTACGTTAACTTTCGTTTAGGTGTAACCCCATTCCTAGTGGAGGTTTCTTATATTACTTATCAAAACATACCGATGATGTCCATGTTTATACGTATGGAAGTATCTGACTGAACTTACTGATGATAATTACGAGAAAACTAAGGAGTAGTTTGATCTAAAAACTATGTAAGGCGAAAATTATGAGCCAGTTTCTCATGACTTGAACCTAATAAAAGCACATTTTTCTGATTGATTACTGAAAATTTATAAGGCTCAGTTCGTTTCGAATAATTGTGTTCTTAACTCCATTCCATTTTAGTATATAACTTAATATTTTCTCAAGGAACGAAGATTGCTATAAAGAAGTTATTAAGGACACGAGAATATTTCAGGATTGAGAATTTCTCAAGTCTTCAGTTTGTACAGTACCATACAGTTTATATAAACTAAAGAGTGCAGATTATAGCTTATATTATTATAGATTATAGTTTATTTAAACTAAAGAGTGCAGATTATATTGTGAGCAAGACCAACATGTAAGAGATATTTTTCGAGCAAGTATTCTGATTAATATGACTTTAAAGCAGCACGATGGAGGACAAGTTTGATCAGGGCTGTTCAAACCAGATAGGTTTGCGGGCCAATACAAATCATTGAATAGGCTGGACAAATAGCAGAAATACGTAAATACAAACATTTATAATTTTTCTGGAGAATAACAAAAATACGGCGATAAAGTTAAATTTAGTAACCACGTCACTGTCTGGTCGCATCATATGCGCAGAAACTAAACCTAATTCGCAGCGATGCTTGTAGGAAATGCAACGAGCCGATTGCAAAGAAACCCTGAAGCATCTGCTGTGTAACTATCCA